TGGTGGTCCTGACACCAAGACACCTGCTCCCATTCCTCTTCAATTACCAACCCTCTCCCTGCTTCCCCTCCAGAAAGTGGTCTCTGCACCCTCCCATAAAACCAACAAGCCTGAGTTACACCTTCTCAGGATCTTTCCAGGAACCTTTTCTCTGTTCCGCTTCCCACTCTGTTCGTCGGGCTGTTCTGTGCTTCACTGAAATCCTCACCCATGAGAAAATTCCAGCTGCAGAACCATCTCAAGGGCAGGCATTTTCCACAACTGCTTCCCTGAGGAACTATTCTGGGTTGAAGCTTAAGAAGCCACGTCTGCAGACAGGTAATTAATGGAACTCCCAACTATTTGCCAAAAGAGGTTTACAAAATCTGATTCCTTCTGCCCAAGACTGAGCTGGGATGGCTGCAGAACAAGAGGCCCGTTGTCACCAGGCTCTCGGCATGCCGTCAGCCACACGCCAGCTCCACACAGCACTCACCTCCGGCACAGGGTAGTAGTTGATATCAATGATTTTGTTCAGGTTTCGGACAATAACCTTAGTGACTTCAGCTAGCTTCTTGAAATCATATGTGTGCTCTGAAGTGACGTACATGTTCAGGGCTATAGAGGCCAAATTACAAACTGCAACCTGCAGAGAAAGCACAGTGAGAACAGGCATGCCAGCCAACACCCCATGCAAAAACCACACAATCTCACTTCCAGAGCATGCTCTCGATCCAAACTACATGGAAACAAAAAACCAAGCAACCTGTAAGGCTGGTTAACACGCTCCTCATTTCTGTACTTTCTTATGAGTTGTAAAAAGGGTTAACTCTTCAAAAAGGTTTAGTAGAAATCAGAATCACCATGAGATGAGAATGAAGTTCTCTGGCCTCATCAACCCTTCTGCCTGCAAGCCATCCTTGCACAACTAAGCCTAACCATTTCTTGTGTTACCAGAATCAGCAGCTGAGCTCAATGAGATCCAGACTGCATTTGGGCATTTTCTTGGTCATTTTTGAACACCAGCATTATTTCCAACCCCAGCAGAACTGAAAGAAGTCAGCTAAGATTCCTTGTGCAGTGCAGGCAGGCAGGATGGCTCTCCACCTCTTCTAGACTACTCAGGATTTTATGAATATGCCAAAGAGCGTGAGCTAAAGAATTACTAGTGGCTCAGGCAGTAGAAACCGACATTTTCGGTTACAACAGCCTTAAGAGCTTTACTGCAGTAGAAATTCCCTGTGCTGTACGAGCACTAACTCGTTTCTACGTCCCTCCTTCACCTTTGGTAGCCGGTTCAGCCACAGCACTTCCGTGGAGCACCAAGATTAGGGTAGTACACAGGGGAAACTGTTACTGAAATGTACGTTTGGGGGTTAGAGAGGCATGGTTTTACTAAATCGCTAGCTGAAGAGATGTTTACATCAGCTGCCAGCAAGCCAAAGAGCTCACTCCTCCCTCAAGCTCTCAGAAGGTTGCTTTGATGGGTATCTTGTTTTATAATAAATCCTCCATGGGAGCTGGAAGAGAGGGGAAACCCACACTCCGAGTCAGTGGATGAGCTGTAAGTACTCAAGTCAAAATATCCTCAGAATTTTCTTAGCTGCCCATTCCCTTCCCCAGCCAACAGTCAGGCATCTCCTAGAAAGCTGCAACAGGAGCACTCATAGCTTTCCTAAATGCTACGAGCTCCTGTTCTCCACCTACCTCATCCTTGCTGGTATACTCCACTATTTCTGTACAGAGATTGCTGCACTTGATGGTCCCCAGGTTCTGCTGATTGCTCTTCCGGTTGCAAGAGTCTTTGTAGAGCATGTACGGTGTGCCCGTTTCCGTCTGCGATTCAATGATCGCGTACCAGAGCTGCTGCGCCTTCACCACTCTGCGGACACGGCCTTGCTTCTCGTAACTGCAACAGGGCACACAGTGCTCAATCATTCCCAGGCTCTCCAGAAACAGCAGCGGAAGACAATCATCTTTAACACAACATCAGGTTCTCAGGCAGGCAAGACCCCACTTCTGAACTGTGTGAACTCTGAGCTAGCCAGGACAGTCTTAACGGCAGGGGATCGAGATGGTCATTGTTTAAAGGAAACAGAAATCTTCCACTACAACATCCTGTTCAAAGCAAAGCCAGTGACCACTTTAAGCAGGGATCACTTCAGAATTTCCCCTAACAAGCTCAAACAATAATTCATGCACAGTTCTATCTTGAGCAGGTTAGTTTGAAGCAAACAGTAAGAAGACGTTCCCCATCTTTGTCCGTTTATCAGTCTGGGAAAGGATCTCGCTGATCACAAACCTGTGTTTCAGCTCCCAGATACCACCCACGGGCAGCTCTGTGAATGGGTGACCACTATCTAAAAGTCTACTGGCTTTTCTTACCTCTCATATAGTTTCTCAAATTCCTCTCCCCAAACCTCATCTAGGCCAGGACACTCGTTTGGACACATTAAGGACCAGTCCTGTAAGAAGGAAAAATACTCAGAGGAAATCTTTAGGCACCCTGTTAATTAAAGGCATTCAACTTCATCAGCAGATCCTGCTGTAAACAGGAACATGCAAACTACACTCCCCATCCTGCGAAACTGGGAACAAACCCTGCCAGCAGACATGGGAAGGTGTTTATCAGACTAGTCAGATTTATTTAAAAATTAACTATATGAACATTTATGACCAAACTGCACTTTTAGTCTTGAAATGACTGGCTCTCGAGATAGAACCCATTTTAAAGCAAATACAAGCAGTCAGCCATATGAAGATCAATTTACTGAGATATTGATGCTTTAAGGAAACTCCAGAGTGAAAATTTAGCGTAACAGCATCAGTGCATAAGTCATGGGCACTGAAGTTTAAGCACGAAGCAAAGCATCGAGTTCTCCAACCCCATTCTCTGCCTGCACAGCCTAGCTCTCCACGGGGTGCAGCAGCTCTTTTGGGAAGCTCCTTTGCCGCTAGGAAGACACTCTGCACCCCTTCGAGAACCCCATCCCAGGCTGGTCACCTGCTTCGCCATTAACAGACCTGTTCTGCAGCAAGCAAGCTTCTCACCTGGTTGGTTTCAACTCGCTTCATGAAGAGATCAGGAATCCAGAGGGCAAAGAAGAGGTCTCTAGCTCGCTGCTCTTCTTTCCCAGTGTTCTTCTTCAAGTCAAGAAATTCAAAGATGTCCAAATGCCACGGCTCCAGATAGATGGCAAAAGCCCCAGGTCTCTGATACACAAAATAGTCAAGATCAGAACAAACTTCCCTTGAAAAGAAAATAATCTGCATTGCTCCTGATCGCACACAATACCCTAAACTAAGCGGAGCCTTTGTTAAGGCAGTTTCAATACGCTTTTGCGTTACTGTTGCTCTCACTTTTCAGAACCGGGCCATGTTACCAGTTACAGATTCTCAATAAAAATTATTTAGCACCAAAAATATATTTCCTCTGTGTCAACAGGAGCTTGGCAAATCTTAGATCAAGTCACACCTCCATCGACCCCTGGGCTATCCAAAGACAAAGGATACAGACCAAGCAGCTTCCTGCAGCCCCCCACCTGAATCCACTACAGGACCCTCAAGGAGTGACTAATAGCCAGAGCAAGAGGCTGATGGAACACACAAATATCATGCAGCAGACATACCAAAAGATATAAAACACAGTGAAAAGGGAACACCAGAATATCAACAAGAAGCAGGGAAAATGTCCTGTTTTAATTGTGTCATCTACAACTGCTTCATCAGCTCACTGATGTTACTGGGTGAATCCTTCACAGATGTGGAACCTCTCCCTCTGACCTGAGCTCCCCTTCTTGACACCAGTTTAAGCGAAAGCCCCTACCTTGTTGCCACCTTGATCCACGTAGCGGGCAGTGTTGTTGTAGACCCTCAGCATTGGAACGAGCCCGTTGGAGTTTCCATTTGTCTGCAGAGGCACAGGAAAACCATCAATACTGAAAAGTGACTGCCTGAAAAGATGGGTCTACATTTTCTGTACGCCCTTCAGGAGTCAGCAAAACTCTTATGCTGAAAGCTAAGAACTGGCCACCCAAGTTCTTTGGTTGACCCCTCCCCCGCCTTTTTTTTTTTTAATAGACAAAAACTGATATACAGGTATTGGTCCCAGAGTTAATAAAATATACCTCCTAACTTCTTTCCTTCTCATTATGTAATGTAAAGGCTTGCAGAGGTTGGTTACACTGTGACCAAAAAACCAAACACGCATCCACAGATGATTTTAAGCAGTCAAGACACAGAAAAAAGAAAAAGGCTAATGTACGAGTCTCTGAGCATATTCCTAGGTTGGAATTGTCCAATCAAACAGCCGAATAAGATCCTCTTTTTGGAAGGACTTCTATCAGGAAGCCACATCACCACGGAACACCAACCTTTTTGCCTTAGTACTGAAAAAGGAAGGCCTACAGAGCTAGCCTAAGTGCTGTGTCAAACTGGCACGGCAGAAGCAGCGTCGATTTGGCAACTGCAGTAGAGACATTTCCTGAAAGCAGAAGGTTGATCTCTGCTGGGAACACCATCTGCACGCTTACCCCAGCGATATAGCTGCCCGTGGCTCGGATACAGCTCACAGCAAGGCCAATCCCACCAGCAGACTTCGAGATGAGCGCACACTGCTTGAGAGTGTCATAGATCCCCTCGATGCTGTCATCCTTCATGCACAGCAGGAAACAGCTAGTGAACACAAATAGCTTTAGCGCACAAAGATTAAAACAAAAAAAAGTCAAGAAGTATTTCAGCAGGGCTGCAGAGAAATAAGGGTAAACACCGAATCCTTAACATGCTACGCAAAGCATAAACCACAGGCTGCAAAGTGGAATAAAGGCTCGCTTTAGAAAACATCATGAGCAATAGTTGTATTGCTGATATCTGTGTTATCAAAGAAAAACATTCTAAAAATCATATCAGTTATGATTGCTACTTTTGGCATGTATTAGAAAACAGTTACTAGGTTTCATTTTGTAATCTACAGAAGACTACGCACATTTAAAAGACAGCCATGTAAACATTTCCCTTAGCTTCAGAAGCCTAAAGACACTTGTGGTTTCTTCCCCAAAGACTACGCTAGGTATCAAGTTAAATTTGACAGCAGCTTCTCAAAACTGCATAAAACAATCCCAGAATCCTATTTTTAGAAGTTGTGAAATAATTTCATGTCAACAGACCCAATCTCTGAAGCTTTATCTTCACCCAGTTATGCATTAAGCCAACCTGGGAGGCAAAGGTACCTGGAGAGCTGCGGCCGGTTGGTGCCAGCATTGAACAGCGTGGGGGAGGCGTGGGTGAACCACCTCTCAGACAGAAGATTGTAGGTTTCGATCGCAGCATCGATGTCATCTTTGTGGATCCCCACCGATACCCTCATCAACATGTGCTGAGGACGCTCAGCAACTGAACACAAAAAGCAAAGGGGGAAAAGGGAATGTCACTATGAAATATCCGCTTAGTACAGCCAGACGTAGAGGTCATTGCAATCAGCCACAAACAACACGCACTGGGCCACTTGAGAGCCATAGTTTTCATAGAATCACAGAAATATTCAGGTTGGAAGCAACCTCGGGACGTCACTGGTCCAATCTCCTGCTCAAAGAAGAAATCATCTGAGAGAATACAGAGTCGATACAGACGGCTCTTACCTTTTGAGTTGATTTTCAGCAAGTAGGAGCGTTCTAGAGTCTTTAACGAAAGAGAGAGAATGTGTTTTAGTAGACATGCAGATTTCAGTCAAAAAAAAAAAAATCCCATTACCTCCAAACTCCAGCATCTTAATGGTCCTTATCCCGGGTTTCAACAGAAGGACCAACCCTGCACCCCACTCCTCCTCTTGTTAATGGCATAGGGTATTAGGTGACTAGTGACTGAAAAAATCCTAAATTCACTGTAAGATCCCGACACTGAGGACCCCATGGATTATGGAGTGGTAGTGGAGCGTGCACCCACCAGGTTCAAGACCTTTCAACCCCCAGTGAGTTAAGGCTGGAAGACGAGGGACTGCTTGACCTCCACAACTCCGTCCCTCCTTAAAGCATTACCAGTTATGCTACAATCATCCTTTCCAGACACTGCACCACAATCTGTAGTGCTGGGGGCTGAACACACAACGTGACAAACATGGCAAGCCTACAACCAGAGCAGATGCCTTTTAGCTTGTGCCTAACGGATTCCAGCAGCAATTACAGGAGGGGATGTCCAAATTGCAGATCTACATACATATAGAAACACATCCCCCCTCAAGGTCCCCTCTTTCCATCCTTCCTGACGTTGCTTCCGCTTGTTTCCTCATCACAAACTACTCTCCCCAAACCAGAAGGCACCACATCAGGTGTGGGGATGGAAACTCCAGGCAAAGACTCCCAGTTCTTGCAGAGATCCACAAGAACTATATCTGAAGTACCCAGCGCTATGGAACAGTGAAATTCTCTCCAGCTAACCCTCCGGAGAGCCCGCTGCGTCATGCCCTAAAGCAATTCAGCACAGAACAGCGTGTTCAGAGGGGAGCAGGAGGAGCAGATGGCGGGGGCACAGCAGACTGGACTGGTTGTGGGTGAGATGTTCCAGCAGCATGGAAGACAACCAACGTGTGGGATGACACACTGAGAACAACTGTTACACAAAACAATGGGGAAAAAAAAAAAATAAAAAATCCCTTTTTTGGTTTTATTAAGAATCAGATTATTTCCTTGAGGAATGGCACGAGGTGGGAAGCTTTCAACAACTTTCAGTGCTATCTGCTGCCGAACAGTGAAGATATTGGAGCAGCCAAGGGTACACAACGAAGCCAAGAAGAAAGGAAATGATTCATCCAGTTAGGCAACTGCTTTGCGCAGGTACTCTTTGTTTTTTACAAACCCACTAATGTCCCACCTACTCCAGCGCCCTCCTTCCCCAAACGGAGACAATTCTGCCAGTATTCCCACCCTTCCCAAAAGGCTCAGCTCCAGAACAATATCAAACCAGCAGTCTTCATTCTCACAAGTAACACGCTTTTTACCTTAAAACCAAAATAGTTGTAGGAGAAGTCTCTGTCATAGATAATGGCAGAATTCAGGCGCTGAGAGGAAGCAACACAGAGAAAAATTTACATTTACAATCAGATCTTTTGTGCCTCACATTAAGGTACAACGGTGCTATCACTGTTCGGTATTTCAGGGCTCAAAGGTCTAGGGAAACAGGGATCAGATCAGAGGGAATGAAGCAGGGAGGAGCACTTCGCTTGAAACCACAAATGCACAGTTTTAACAATTTTTTTCCAAGTACAATGCACAATTGTTGGCTGTGTTTTACTGAAGCCTAATGAGACAGTAAGAAACACAAGATAAAAATCAAAATACGAACACGGCTTCCCCATAAGAACAGAGGCCTGGAACAGCCTGAAATCAGAACCCAAACCTCATGTGCCCCTTCTACGCACACAAACCAGATTGCTACATCAAAAGGTACTTTTCCTCAAATTAGAGTTGTGCTGATCATGACTATGAGGACATCCAAGAAAACAGATTCTCCCATGGAAACATCCTTACATGAAGGAAATTCCTGTATCCTCTCTTTTAAACTCTCCAGAACAGAGCAGTTATCACCTGCGCTGGTTTCTGCATTGGCTTTTTGTCCTAAAACAGACATGGCTGACTCAAAAATACAGACAAATAAGTTATCTGAATTAGTTCACTGAATTTTTAAAATTTAGAAGTGAAAAAAAAAAGCATTACGTACATCTTTGTTGGCCAGGACTATGTCTAGAGTTTCTTTGGAGATCATCGGGGAGTGCTTCCCATTGTGAGGGTTCACGTAGTTGTAGAGATCATCCATCACATCTACAACAGAAAGGTGTTTACAAAGGACATCCACAGACCTATGTATGCCTATGTATCTGTCATTTTTTCCAAGGATTTAACAGGCAGGGCTCCCCATCCTCTAAAATAACCCCCCTCCCGCTCCACAACCGTACAACTTTCCCTCTGCCTGCTCAGTACTATTACTAATCTGTTAACCTTAAAAATGCACTTCTCTTACAATGTTTTTTTTAATAGAATTTATAACACATAACAAATGAGAAAGAAAGTGGGCGCAACCTCATTTCAATCAGTTCCATTTTTCATCAGACACTTTTCACAAAGCAGGCAATTTAATTTTCCTTGTGACATGCCTAAAACTCACATTTTTTATCTCTGTGGCATTTTTAGTTAGCCTGGGTTCTTAGTAACTTCTGCTTAAGAAAGAGATTTCCATATTTACATCCTCTGAAACTCCTACTCCCTTTCTGACTAATTGCTAACCAAGTGCCCCCGAGGAGACTTACCGCTGAACACTTTCTTAGTTTCTTTGTGCAAATTGGAGACCGCAATCCGTGCTGCCAGGATAGCATAGTCAGGGTGCTTGGTGGTCAGGGTTGCAGCCGTCTCAGCCGCCAGCGTGTCCAGTTCCACTGTCGTGACACCACTGTACAGCCCCTGGATCACCTTCATGGTGATCTGCGCCTGAAAGAGGAGAATTCTGGAGGTTATCTACCTGTTACTGGGGGAAAAATCCTGATGTTTCAACCCTTTATCATGTAAGATATGCTTCACTATAAGTAGTACCATCTGCTCTGTTTGAACAGAAAAGCAAACGAAAATACCAAACACTCCCGGTGAAGTATTGACTCCTAAAATTTTAAATACTGAAGCAGAAGGGAGAGAAAGGAAAGAGGGAAGAAAGCAGAAATTGTCAATCCAGAATAATTAACAGTTTCTTTTCTGCAGACTTTCCTAAAGTCTAGGATAGAGTAGGAGCAAAGTCTATAGGGAAAAAAGTCAGATTAAAACAGTACTTGCTTGGAAGCTTTGAAACTCCAAACAAAGCTTGACTTTACAAATAAGTGCTATGCTTAAAATAATTTCATGAAAAGACTAAAAAGAAAAAAAAAACCAACCCTGCAAGGGATACAATGGCATTTGCTTCTTGGCTGAACCTAATCTTCATCTGCCAGCTGGGACCTTTAGTGGAAAAGCCTTTTTGCATCTACCATCTCTGAAGTATTTTCTGCTTTTCTCTCAAGCATTTAGCTTGATCACAAGGAAGAGCATATTCTACACCAGAGAAGAGGGCTCTGATCTAACATGGTAACTGCCAAATACATCTGAAGTGCCAACAGCCTCACAAAACCAGGACATGTCATTTTCAAACCCTACTCTCTGTTAGTGAGCACAGAGGTGAGGGATTTTTCATACTGGCTTGTAAAGCATCTGCCACAAGGAGACCCAAGTCCAAAAGGAGAAACTCAATTCCAGGAAAAGAGATGTCACACACTACTGCAGAATAAATAAGAATGCAGTGCTCCATACAAGATGAGCTTCGTTATTAAGACAGTATTAAGAGCCAGGAGGACTGGGAATCTTCCTTCTGTCCTATCATGTCACTGAGATCAAGGCAGAACACTTTGTGTTTCAGTAACCAAGTCACTAATGCTCCTCCTCCTGCTCTCTGTCCATGGCTGAAGAGCACTACTTGTTGTACAGAATGAATGTCAGATATTTTAGATGCAATTTAAGACATGAAAGCAGATCATTAGATCTTGGAGATAGGAAGTGCCTAAGCTGGCATCTCCAACTGAACAGAGTGGGTCTGCACGTCTGCAGAAAAATCCCACAGAGATCAATGGATCCACGAGGCAGTCATCCTCCGCACAGGCTTTGGAAAGAGAAGTTTACATGAGCAGGATCAACATGCACTCAAAATCCTACGCAGCTCAAAAACTACTCTCGATCTACTTGTTTTAGTAAGAGATTTTCCCTACACTGTTGCTCAAGCTTTGTAGATTGAAATTGAGAGCAACCTACCAAAACCAAAATATGTGAGTTGGAGCAACAAACTCCTCTTTTTAAAGAACAAGAAGCTCAATTGCTTCAACAATATTTGAGGTAAAAGCAATTTACAATAGGCAAACTGATTTTCCCCCACCACACTCTTGGACTGTGTAGCTGTGAAGCAAAAAAACCCAGAACACAATCAATCAGAAGAAACAGGTTAGGAATGGATTTGCCAAAAGTTCCTGCATAGGCTACCACGCTGGGCGTTTGCCAAGGAGAATAACTGGGTGAGACCAGCTCACCACTGCCGGCTCTTAGCAGGGACCAGCACAAGGGGCAGGGAGCAGGAAAAAGGACAGACTCACGGGATCCACAAAGTCAGCGTTGAGCCCGTAGCAGAGCTTCTGGATGCGCGACGTGATCTTGTCAAACATGACACGCTCCTGGCGTCCATCTGTTGGGGAAAAGGTTACTGTCACAGCAGCTCCCGTTACAACAAAGAACCCGTTCAGCACAGTATCCTCCCACCCAGCACCTCACACGAGGAGCCAGCCTTCTTCCGGGGGAACTTGGGGTGGGAATCACCAAGGACAACCTGTTTGGGCTGAGGTTATCCCTTCCTCCCGGCATGTTCCTGCTGCAGATGATCCCTCACTCAGAGGCACAGGTACAGTGAGGAAAAACAGGGAGCTCACCCCACTTCAAGAGGGGCACGATCACCCACTACAGAGCCAAGAAATTGCCACCCCGCTACACCCAAAATTTTGCAATTCTCAGGACCACCACTGCAGAGATGAGGAACCCAGCTGGGGGTCACCCCAGCCCCCCCAAGGCTGGGGATACCTCCTCTGGCCGAGGACTCTCCTTTGATCAAAGGTGGGGGGACCAAGCCCAAAGTTCACCGCCGTGGGGGCGGGAGGGGTCTCCCAAAGCAAACTGAGGGGTCTCACCCCTCACTCTTGAGGTCACAGGGGAGCTCCCCCACTCGGGGCTCCCCCCCAATGCAGACGAGGTGGCATGCAAGCTGCCCCAAAGCAGAGGGGATCCCATCCTTCCATGTCCCATGAGGGATACCCCAAAACAGAGGGGGGATCCCCACCATGGGAGGGACCCCCCCAAAGCAGAGGGAGTCCCATCCCTTCAAACCAGGTACCATGAGAGGGACCCCCCCCAAAACAAACGGGGTCCCATCCCCTCATACCAGGTGCCACGAGAGGGACCCCCCAAAACAAACGGGGACCCTTCCCCTCACACCAGGTGCCATGGGAGGGACCCCCCCCAAAGCAGAGGGGGTCCCATCCCCTCACACCAGGTGCCACGAGAGGGACCCCACAAACCCCTCACACCAGGTGCCACGAGAGGGAACCCACAAAGCAGAGGGGGTCCCATCCGCTCACACCAGGTGCCATGAGAGGGACGCCCCAAAGCAGAAGGGGTCCCACCCCCTACACTCAATGCCACGAGAGGGGGGCCAGCCCCCCACCCCGAGCAGAGGGGCAGCCCCCTCCCTTCCCGCGGGTGCCGAGGAAAGCCCCCGTGCCCGGCCGGTGCCCGCC